ATTTGGCAGGAAGTTAATATTTAAACCCTATATGTATTGAAAGACAGAAATGACCGCATGGCGTCGTTAAGAATGTTTAACAGTCATTATGTAAGAACATGAGAGCTAAAGCGTTGCACCGCGCTGTGACTCAGATCTGATCTGATCATCCACCGCGTGTTTCCTGCAGCCGTTGGTGTGCAGCCTCCACCTGCTGCAGAAAACAGGTCAGGCTGCAAACACTGCAACGCTCGCTCAACCTCTTCCTGACAAACACGTCAACATGTTTCAAGCTTTCATGATACTTTCTCCTCCCACGCACAGTAACACTGTAGCACTGACACGTTGCAATCTGCAACATCTGGTAACTTTGTCTGACATGTCCTCAAAGTCCTCCTGAGTTTAAGATCAAAGTCTTAGCAGTGTTAAGTATTCGTTCCCTTCATTAAGAAAAGGTCCATGTGGGTTAAAGTATTTGAAGAATCACAGTGATGGTTCTGCAGTTAAAGCTCTCCTGTTAGATCATGAATGTCGATGCAGTGGTCTCAAATATAATCACATATTTAAAAACTGCCTATGTCTGCTTCTCTTCCTGTGTCAGGATGTTGTGGAGAAAAGTCACCTCATCCCCCCGTCTCCAGTTGTCCACGTTCGAGGACTCTGTGATGCCGTGGTGGAGGCAGATCTGGTGGAGGCTCTCGACAAATTCGGAAATATCTGGTAACTTTTAAAGTACAGACACTTTTTTTTCCTCTGAAAAATGTCCAACTTGTTTATTATGTTGCCAAGTCAGTGACCTGTCAGTCCCAGGTAGCCCCGCCCCTGACTCCTCCCCCTCTTTCTTGTCTCTGTGATTCTAAATGGGACCGTAATTTACTAAATCAACTTGACTGGGATTGAGTGCTCCTCTCGTTTTATTAACAATATGACCTGTTGATGAGAACACCCGTTCAGAGTGCACGTAAACATTAGCGAGCCAGCTTGGAGAGTTTCAGGTTTTTAGTGACCCTGTGTCTCGCCACCAATCAGAGGGCTGCTGTCTGCAGAGAGATGAGTCTCCCTCATGTCAGTCTGAATCTCCTGAATCTCACTTCTTGTTGCTTTTGACACAACATTAATGTCTTCATTTACTGAGGTCAAGAGGTCATGCAATGGTGAAGTCACGCTGAGAGCGCCCTCTGCTCGATCAAACTGTAATCTACTTCAGATGATGCACTGATAGACTGTTTTGAATACAAATGGTTTGAATGTGAACTTTCTCCCTCAGTCCGACTGAATGTTAAAATTTAGAAGAATAATTGACAGCCCTAACCTGAGGGCGGGCTTTATATGAAAAAAATCTCTTTGTACTTGAGTGAATCCCCGCCTCCTTTAACCCACCTGTGTGTTCCTCCTGCAGTTATGTGATGATGATGCCGTTCAAGCGTCAGGCTCTGGTGGAGTTTGACTGTGTGGAGAGCGCCAAGCGCTGTGTGTCGTTTGGAACCCGTGAGTCGGTCTTCATCGCTGAGCAGCAAGCCTTCTTCAACTTCTCCACCAGCCAGAGGATCACCAGACCGACCAACGCTGATGACCCCAACAGCGGAAGCAAGGTCCTGCTGCTGTCCATCCAGAACCCGTTGTACCCCATCACCACCGTGAGTCCTGGACCCTGTTTTTACATGTGTGGGTTCTGGAACCTCTCCAGAAGATGAGTTAGTGCAGCAGTGAAACAGGCTGTAATGACTGCAAGGTAGTCCTGGATCAAGGAGTATGTTGCAGACGTTACAGTCTGTTTATCTGCAGACGTTACAGTCTGTTTACCTGCTGCAGACGTTACAGCCTGTTTACCTGCTGCAGATGTCACAGTCTGTTTACCTGCAGACGTTACAGTCTGTTTACCCGCTGCAGACGTTACAGTCTGTTTACCTGCAGACGTTACAGTCTGTTTACCTGCTGCAGATGTTACAGTCTGTTTACCTGCTGCAGATGTTACAGTCTGTTTACCTGCAGACGTTACAGCCTGTTTACCCGCTGCAGACGTTACAGCCTGTTTACCTGCTGCAGACGTTACAGTCTGTTTACCTGCAGGCGTTACAGCCTGTTTACCCGCTGCAGACGTTACAGCCTGTTTACCTGCTGCAGACGTTACAGTCTGTTTACCTGCAGGCGTTACAGCCTGTTTACCTGCTGCAGACATTACAGCCTGTTTACCCGCTGCAGACGTTACAGCCTGTTTACCTGCTGCAGACGTTACAGTCTGTTTACCTGCAGACGTTACAGTCTGTTTACCTGCAGACGTTACAGGCTGTTTACCTGCTGCAGATGTTACAGTCTGTTTACCTGCTGCAGATGTTACAGTCTGTTTACCTGCAGACGTTACAGCCTGTTTACCCACTGCAGACATTACAGCCTGTTTACCCGCTGCAGACGTTACAGCCTGTTTACCTGCTGCAGACGTTACAGTCTGTTTACCTGCAGGCGTTACAGCCTGTTTACCCGCTGCAGACGTTACTGCCTGTTTACCCGCTGCAGACGTTACAGTCTGTTTACCTGCAGACGTTACAGCCTGTTTACCCGCTGCAGACGTTACAGGCTGTTTACCCGCTGCAGACGTTACAGCCTGTTTACCCGCTGCAGACGTTACAGGCTGTTTACCCGCTGCAGACGTTACAGCCTGTTTACCCGCTGCAGACGTTACAGCCTGTTTACCCGCTGCAGACGTTACAGTCTGTTTACCTGCAGACGTTACAGTCTGTTTACCTGCTGCAGACGTTACAGCCTGTTTACCCGCTGCAGACGTTACAGTCTGTTTACCTGCAGACGTTACAGTCTGTTTACCTGCTGCAGACGTTAAAGCCTGTTTACCCGCTGCAGACGTTACAGCCTGTTTACCCGCTGCAGACGTTACAGCCTGTTTACCCGCTGCAGACGTTACAGGCTGTTTACCCGCTGCAGACGTTACTGCCTGTTTACCCGCTGCAGACGTTACAGTCTGTTTACCTGCAGACGTTACAGCCTGTTTACCCGCTGCAGACGTTACAGGCTGTTTACCCGCTGCAGACGTTACAGCCTGTTTACCCGCTGCAGACGTTACAGGCTGTTTACCCGCTGCAGACGTTACAGGCTGTTTACCCGCTGCAGACGTTACAGCCTGTTTACCCGCTGCAGACGTTACAGCCTGTTTACCCGCTGCAGACGTTACAGTCTGTTTACCTGCAGACGTTACAGTCTGTTTACCTGCTGCAGACGTTACAGCCTGTTTACCCGCTGCAGACGTTACAGTCTGTTTACCTGCAGACGTTACAGTCTGTTTACCTGCTGCAGACGTTAAAGCCTGTTTACCCGCTGCAGACGTTACAGCCTGTTTACCCGCTGCAGACGTTACAGCCTGTTTACCCGCTGCAGACGTTACAGGCTGTTTACCCGCTGCAGACGTTACAGGCTGTTTACCCGCTGCAGACGTTACAGCCTGTTTACCCGCTGCAGACGTTACAGTCTGTTTACCCGCTGCAGACGTTACAGTCTGTTTACCCGCTGCAGACGTTACAGTCTGTTTACCTGCAGACGTTACAGTCTGTTTACCCGCTGCAGACGTTACAGTCTGTTTACCTGCAGACGTTACAGTCTGTTTACCCGCTGCAGACGTTACAGTCTGTTTACCTTCCTTCTTTGATGAGCTGCCAATCCCTCTGATCTCTCTCTCTCTCTCATGCAGGATGTTCTGTACACCGTCTGTAATCCGGTCGGTAACGTCCTGCGCATCGTCATCTTTAAACGCAACGGCATCCAGGCCATGGTGGAATATCCTGACTTATTGTGTGTTAATATGTTTCTTAAAGGGGCAGTATGTAACTCTGACCCCTAGTGTTTAAAATGGATACTGCAGTCTAAATTCTGTAAACCTTTCTGTGTTCTAACCTCTCTCCATTTTTCAAAAGCATCTCCAATATTGATCCTAGTTTGAGCACGTTTCTGCTCGTGGAGCTTATTAGAAACATGCAGAGGCTTTTTAGGTCGGGTACAATCACTTCTATCTGAACCACTTCTCTTGACCGCTTCCATCGCTGCAACACCTGTTGACCTGATAACTGCTCTCATATCTGGCAAACCGAGGGGTGTCCAAAACGGCCGTGTGGGGGCGTGTCTTAAAAGCGCCTACCTTCTCTGGTCCAAACAAATCCAGAGCATTCAGGAGCAGAATCTAAAGTTAGAAGGAGGACATACTGGCTGCTGCATTGTTGTCAGAGAAGCCAGCACTTCAACATAGCATGTTTCCTTAATGATCAGATAGTAAGATACCTTTATCATCTCACTCTCTACACAGCTCACTGATTGATGCTGTTATATGTTCAAAGATCATTGCAGACGTGTTCAAGTCCATTAAAGCTGCTGAAACGTTTTAACGTGACGTGACCACCGGAGGGCAGAGAAAGACAATCTTTAAAGATCAAATAACGTTTCAGTGAAGTTGACAGTAGAGCTCAAGGTGGTGGTGGTCTTGTATTCTCTCCTCTGATTGGCTGGTTGCTGATCCTCCTGATGAGTCAACCTTAACGAGCTTGTTAACATTTGAGTCGGTGGAGGACGCTCAGAAGGCCAAACTGGCTCTGAACGGAGCCGACATCTACTCCAGCTGCTGCACGCTGAAGATCGAGTACGCTCGGGTAAACACACACACACACACACACACACACACACTGAGCTCCTGACAAACACACACTCTGCTGCCCACACACACACACACACCCACCCAGAGGTGCTGTGCTCTGTCGCCCCCTGCAGCCCAACAGACTGAACGTCGTCCGCAATGACAACAGCAGCTGGGATTATTCCAAACTCTTCATCCTGCACCGAGGTAGATAGAGAACATCAGAGAGGAGCGCTCACCACCCACTGCTACGACCACTTCCTGTCAGCTGTTACAGTGTGTGTGTGTGTGTGTGTGTGTGTGTGTCTGTGGGTGTGTGTCCTTGTTTTAGAGCGGGTAACAGGGAGGAAGCGTCAGGCCATCCTGGGAGAACATCCATCCACCGGCTACGGTAATCTGTCTGTCTGTCTGTCTGTCTGTCTGTCTGTCTGTCTGTCTGTCTGTCTGTCTGTCTGTCTGTCTGTCTCTCTTCCTGTCTGTGTGTCTGTCTGTCTCTCTTCCTGTCTGTCTGTCTGTCTGTCTGTCTGTCTGTTCAATCAATCAATTTTTATCTGTATAGCGTCAACTCATAACAAGTGTTATCTCGAGACACTTTACATAAAGCAGGTAAAAGACCTTACTCATTGTTATGTTACATAAAGCAGGTAAAAGACCTTACTCATTGTTATGTTACAAAGACCCGGCCTATCCATCATGAGCACTTTAGCAAAGCAGCAAAAGTTACAGTGGTAAGAAAAAACTGCCTTATTAAAAGGCAGAAATCTTCGGCCGGATCCCCGGCTCATGACGAAACAGCCTTCACAGGTCTAGACCGCGTCGGGCTTGGCTTGGCTTAGTCACTTTCTGGGTGAATAATAGTTCTGTCTAAGTATTCTAAGAAGGGCTGGCAGGTTTTGTTGAAAGCATTACCAGGACCCGCAAGTGAGATTCTAACCTTCTCAAGTTTGACATGAGTTAGGACCTCCCTAAGCCAGCTATTATGCGAAGGGGGGAGAGCATGTTTCCATTTAAACAAAATAAGGCGTCTGGCCAGTAGAGTTGTAAAGGCCTACACCCGCCGCTTTGTCATAGTGAGATTAGGTGTTGTAAGTGGGGGGGAACCAAACAGGGCTGTGCAAGGCTCAGGGCCAAGATCCAAATCAAGCACTATTGCAAGTGTATCAAAACTTTGGCGCCAAAAGCCAGTGAGGCTCGGACAGGACCAAAACATCTGTGTGATTAGCAGATGACTGCTTACACCTATTACAACTGTCACTGGTGCCTGGGTAAATCTTCGCCAGCCGAGCGTTTATGTAGTGCACTCTGAAAAGAACTTTACATTGTAATAAACTGTGTCTAGCACACATGGAGGACGAGTGAACTAGCTTAAGAATTTGGTCCCACCGGCTGTCTGATATAGGTACTCCTAATTCCTCCTCCCAGATCTGCTTCAGGCGAGTCATTTGGTCAGGGTTAAGGGAATCAATGGAGTTATAAATCACAGAGATGGAACGTCTTTGGTCAGGGTCGAGGGTAAGCAGAGAGTCAATCAGAGACCTGGGCGGGTGGTTGGGGAAGTGGGGGTAGGCGGCTTGGACAAAGTGCCTGGCTTGAAGAAAACAGAAAAAGTGAGAGTGAGGTAATTCGAGCCTGGCTGCAAGCTCTGTAAAATCAGTAAAAATGTTTTCTTTGTAAAGGTCCTTGACATATAGCAGGCCTTTGTTTCGCCAGATAGTAAAAGTAGGGTTGAATAGGGAGGGTGGAAATAGATGGTTTCTAACAATCAAGGCTAAAGTTGAAGGTTCATTCAAACCATAATATTTACGGAATTGTATCCAAATTTTCAGTGAATTGGTAACAACAGGGTTCTGTGAGACATTATGAATCTTGAGAGGAAAACGTGTGGTGAGGAGGGACTGTAAAGAAAACTTTGAGGACTGTAGTTCTATCAGAGCCCATGAGGGACCTTTGTCAGCTCCCCTGTCAAGCCAATGACTAAGTTTGTTAATGTTGCATGCCCAATAATATTGGATAAGGTTGGGTAGTGCGAGACCGCCCCGCTTTTTGGGGAGTTGTAAAACAGCTATTTTAATACAGGGTGGCTTATTCAACCACAGAAACGACGATACTGTCTGGTCTAGGTGCTGAAAGAAGGACCTTCTCATAAAAATTGGAATATGCTGGAACAAATAGAGGAATTTAGGTAGAATCACCATCTTTACCAGGTTAACTCTGCCAGTTAAGGAGAGAGGGAGAGAGGACCAGCGAGTCATATCAAGCTTACACTTATCAATAAGAGGCCGAAATTTTTTGTTGAAAAGGTCCTCAAAAGAAGCAGTGACGAATACGCCTAAATATCAAAACCCCTCTGAAACGACTCTAAATGGGAAAGAGGACGATGGCAACCTCCTAGCCAGGAGGTTGATAGGGAGAAGTTCACTTTTATTAAAATTTAATTTGTAACCAGAATATCTACTGAACTGGGTTAAAATGTCTGTAATAACAGGGATGGACGCGGCCGTGTTTGACACAAATAATAGTAGATCATCCGCGTACAGGGACAACTTGTGGGTGACATTTTTCCTGGTGATGCCCTCGACTCTCCCCTCCCCCCGAAGCCAGATGGCCAACGGCTCAATAGCGAGAGCAAATAGGAGGGGAGAGAGGGGGCATCCCTGTCTAGTGCCCCGGCGAAGGGCAAAGGAGGGCGACCTCACACCATTTGTGTGGCAATCAGGGCAGGTAGGGCTTGCCGCAGACGAGTGGCTAGGACCTTGGCGAGAATCTTTTGGTCCACATTTAAAAGTGAGATGGGCCTATAGTTGCTGCATTCGAGGGGATCCTTGTCTTTTTTTAATAAAAGAGAAATGTTAGCTTCAGATAGGGTTGGGGGCAGTCTGCCACTAGTAAATGATTAATTGTAGACATTAACCAAATGTGGGGTTATAGGGTTTGAATATGCTTTGTAAAATTCAACGACAAACCCGTCTGGGCCAGGGGATTTGCCATTTTGTAGCTGTCCAACCGCACTTCCGCCAGTGAGATCGGTGCACCTAGTTTATCAGCCAGATTACTATCGACTTTGGGATACGTAAGCATCTCCAGGGGGCTGTGGTTCTTCCAAATTTCAGGCGAGTACTCTGAAATGTACAGGTCAGAATAGAAATTTAAAAACGCATCGTTTACCAATTTGGGGTCGGTGGACACTGCTCCCGATGGCAATTTTATCCTGGGGATCAGTCTCGAGAGAGCTGCTGATGGGCGAGAAGTTTGCCCGCCTTATCTCCCATTTCAAAATAACTTTGCCTTGTTTTTAACAATTTGGTTTCAACCTTAGATGTTGACAGAAGGTCAAACTCGGCCTGAAATTTAAGACGTTGGTCATAAAGAAAGGGAGTGGGGGCGGCGACATATTGTGTGTCAATTTTCAATAGTTGATACGAGAGCCAGACCATCCTTTCCGTGTCCACCTTTTTCTTACGGGAAGCAAACAAAATCGCATGCCCCCTCAGATATGCTTTACACGCCTCCCATAGAGTGCCTCTTGTGATGTCTGGGGTATCATTTGTTTGAAAGAAGTTGGCTATCTCCTCCTGGAAGAATTTTTTAAAACGTGGATTACTCAATAAAAGGTGGGAAAGTTTCCATTGTGTATGTGGGGAGCTGTGGTTTGGGAAATTTATGACAACCGATGTAGGAGCATGGTCTGCGTTCACTATACTGTGATACTCACTTGAGTTGACCCAATGCAACAGCCTATTATCAACGGAAAAAAAATCAATTCTGGAATATGAACGATGAACGTGGGAGAAAAACAAAAAAGCTTTGGTGGATGGGTTAAGAGACCGCCAAGGATCACTGAGGCCAAGCTGGCACATAAAAGATTTCAATGTGGCGGCAGAGTTGGACAACGTGGGGGGTCTAGAGGTGGACCTATCTAGAACAGGATCCTGAGTAAGGTTGAAATCACCACCTATAATCGGATAGTGACTGTCTATATCAGGAAGGGAGGAGAAAAGATGGGTGATAAATTTGTCATCATCCCATACAGGGGCGTAGGCACTCACTAAAATAACTGGGATGTCAAACAGCCTGCCTGACACAGCCACAAAACGCCCATTAGGGTCTTCAATAGATTTCGTTGGTTCAAATGAAATATTTTTACTGATAATAATGGCTGCCCCTCTCGCCCTCGCAGAAAACCTAGAATGAAATACATGACTCATCCAGGGTCTTTTAATACATGACATCTCAGAGGTCTTGAGGTGAGTTTCCTGACGGAAATAAATATCCCCTCTGAGTTGTCTCAAATATGCAATCACTTTGCCCCTCTTAATTGTTCCATTGACTCCCCTAACATTCCATGACACAAACCTGCAGCCCTGGTTTTGGGGTGTAATTGTATTAATCATTACTCACCCTTTGTTAAGTGGAGATATGCAGTGACGATGCCTTTTTTCTTGGGGGGGACGACGACGACAAAAAAAAAAAAATAATAATAATAATAATAATGATAATAATAATAATAATAAAAAAAAAAAAAATCATTAACACATTTAAAACCCCTATACAGTTTCCAGTTTATACTTACTGATCATTACTGATCATAACTTCACCACTCCCGCAGGACAAAATGTAACCCTGATAGCACAGACAGTCAGACAATAACAGAGAGAAGTTTAAGCGCCTTCCATATTGTAAGGCTTAAAACGAAACTAGTCACCTGTGAGCATAAACGTTGCGATACAACAGTCACTATGGAAAAATTCCCCCAGAGAACAGTGCAGGTTTTCCCATTACTCAACCCCTTTAGAACAATAAAGGGCGATATGTCCAAGAAATAGAAAGCAAAGACATGAGTAGAGAGGCTGTATCTTCATGTAACAGAAAAAACAATCATCATAACTCCCACTGCGACGTAACAGGCATCTTTGTATTAAACGTTTGACTAATATTACCCCTAATAAAGATTAAAAGCATGGTCAAGGGCCAAAGAGAGAGAGAGAGAGAGAGAGGAGCTCAAGGTGCCAGTTCCCCCGGTAGTCTAAGTCTATAGCAGCATAACGAAGAGCTGGTCTACACCAGCACCAGCTCTAACTAGAACTAGGAAAAGGGACCACATTACTCCTGTGTTGGCTTCTCTGCACTGGCTCCCTATACAGTCTAGAATAGAATTCAAGATCTTTCTTCTCACTTACAAAGCTCTAAATGGCCAGGCACCATCTTATCTTAAGGAGCTACTAGTGCCGTACTGCCCCTCGAGAGCGTTGCGGTCCCAGAGTGCAGGCCTGCTAGTGGTACCTACAGTCTCTAAATGTACTATGGGAGGTAGAGCCTTCAGTTATCGGGCTCCTCTCCTCTGGAACCGTCTTCCAGCCGGGGTCCGGGAGGCAGACACAGTCTGTATTTTTA